CACTTGATTAGATTTTTTTTTTATTACATCAAAGTCAACTTATACCCACCCTATGTATGTATATGTATACTCTATGTATACTCCTTTAAAATGGAGAACAATATAGTTCTCAAGAGTTATAAGTGTCATCTTCCCTTGTAGGGATGTAAACAGTTTGCCCTTATTAATAACATGTTTTTTTCTGTCCCGTTTAACACCAAGGAGCTTATATCCTAATGGGAAGGACAACTTGTACATGTAAGTAGGGTGAAGGACCACACCTATAGTTTAATTGTATAGGGCACTCTCAAATGAGGAAGTTCTCCCTACCAATTACAATAAATTCAATACTTTCTCTGCAACTTGTGGTATTAGAGTTTTACCTAGAACATGAAGAGGTTACATGACTTGCCCAGAATCACAAATTATGTATTGGTGGGAGGGGGTTTGACTTCAGATCTTCCTGACTCCAAGGCCAACTCTTTACCCTGCTTCTTTCACATATGTAAGTATATATGGCCAAATTACAAGTAGAGGCAGGCAGGGGGACAGCTTTTTAAGGACATTTGACTGAGAAAGGGAGGAGAAATATAGGATGATAGATTGAGGAATTGGTGGGATCTAGTGAAGGGTATTTGGTTTTTTTTCTTTTCTTTTGAGGATATGGGAGACTTGAGCATATTTGAAGGCAGTAGGGAAGGAACCAGTAGATAGAAAAAGGTGAGACAGGAGGGAAAAGGCAAGAAGAGGGAGAGAGAGGCAGAGAGAAAGAGAAAATGTGATGATAATTGTCGTTGCAATCTGCTGGAGAAAAAAAATGTATATATTTACATATATATATATATACACATACATAGTAGTTGGCCTTGGCAAGGAGAAAGTCTACCTCTTTGTTAGAGATTGAGAAAGGAGAGAATGGGACATGATGTAAATAACTTTTGAAATGAAAAGAACAGAGGACAAGGGAGCTTATATTGAATGTGAGTTCAGTTGCCTCAGTTTTCTGAAGGGCATGATCCTCAGCTGAGACAGAGAGGGAAATGTGTTAGAATTGATGAGGGAAGAGAATAGCCTTAGCAGGGGTTGAGATAGGGAACCAGGTAGAGAGGAATAAAAGGCCTGCCTTACTGCTGTGAAGGCCCAGCTGAAGTTGAATAACGTGAGGTAATAGGACACACCAGAGCTTTTTGGACCAGGGATTAACATGAAATAATATTACTTTGGGGGCAGCTAAGTGGCTCAGTATGGGCAACTGGGTAGTTCAGTGGATAGAATGCTGGGCCTGGAGTCAGTAAGACTTGAGTTCAAATCCAGCCTCGACACTTACTAGCTGTATGATCCTGGGAAAGTTACCTAACCCTGTTTGCCTTAGTTTTCTCATCTCTGAAATGAGTCAGAGAAATGGCAAACCATTCCATTATCTTTGTCAAGAAATTCCTAAGTGGGGTGACAAAGAGTTGGACATGACTGGAAAGCAACTGAACAAGAAAATGTGGGTAGAGTGCTGGGCAGATCTGACCTCAGGCATTTGCTAACTGTGCCATCTTGGGCAAGTCACTTTTTTGTTTGCCTAGGAGGCAGCTAGATGGCTCAGTGGATAGAGTGCTGGACCTGGAGTCAGGAAGACCTGATTTCAAATCTGGCCTCAGACAGTTACTAGCTATGTGACCCTGGACAGCTCATTTAACCACTGGAGAAGGAAATGGCAAACGACTCCAGTGTCTTTGACATAGACAGTATGGTCTATGGCAGGTCTACACAACCTGCGGCCACTCGCGGCACGCCACGGCGGGCTAACTGAAATCCTTTGGTGTGCCGCAAATGGCCTGTGGGCCATAGGTTGTACGGGCCTGGTCTGTGGGGTCACAAAGAGTTGGACATAGCTGAAATGACTGAATAACTACTTTGAATAATTACTTTGGCAGCTGGGTGGAATAAAGATGGAAGAAGGGAGAAATGAGGCATGCTGATCCTTCAGGAGGCTATTGCAGTAGTCTAGATGAGAGGTGATGAGAGCTTAAGCTTGCATGGTGGCAGGAGATAAGAGGATACGTGCTAGAAATGTTTTGGAGGTAAAAAGTACTTGGCTGCACCCTCACTCATTTTTCTCACAGTTAAAGTAGGGGAGTTGGAATACCCCTTACTCCTCATTGCCACTTTCAGTTTCTCCTCCTACCACCATCACTCAGTAACCTCTCTTTCTTTGAAGTTCATGCTATTGATGTCTATCACCCAGTCAGAATTCTTGTAGCTGTTGCATAGACCTCTAGGTTACTTCCCTTCCTTCCTCAATGAGTTCAATACATACCTCACAATTTTTCTTTCCTCCTCCACTCCTGTCCTCATATTAGCAGACTTCAGTATTGACTCTCCTCAGTATTGACTCTCCTTCGAACATCCTGACCACTCATTTCCTTGTCCTACTCACTTCCCAGAGGTATACCCCATCTCAGCCACACACAAACATGGTCATACCCTTGGTCTTGCCATCACCCACAAATGTACCACCTCCATGTTCAAGAATTCTGAAGTCCCCTTCTCCAACTCAATGTCTTTTCACCTCTCCCTATGTCTTCCCTTACAAAACCATACTTTTCATTTCCCCTGTTACTTCAAATCTTTTGATCCCTCAGTTCTCTCCCAGTCTGTTTCCCCTGTACTGTCTGTTCTTTTCCCCATCTTGACTCATTGATGAACAATAAATTCTACACTATCTTGTATACGTTTATCCTGTATATATATTTAGCCTGCTTTTTTGTATGTATTTGTTGTCTCCCCTATTAGATTGTGAGCTTCTTGAGGGCAGAGGCTGTCTTTTGCTTCTTTTTGTATCCCCAGTCAGCACGTTGACTGGCACTTAGGGGGTGCTTAATAACTGTTTACTAGAAATTATTGATTGATTGAAAAAGTGATAAGATTTGGCAAGTAATTGGATGTATAGGGTGAGTGGGATTGAGTAGAGGATGATTATAAGATTGCAAGCCTGGGTGACTGGAAGAATCGTGGTACCCTCAACAGAAATAAAGACTTAAGGAAGAAGATTAGATTTTTCCAGGGAAGAATAAGGAGCTTTGTTTTGGACATTTTGGGTTTGAGATGCCTGTGAGACATCCATTTTGAAATGGCCAGTAGACTGTTGGTGATTCAGGACTGGAGCTCAGCAGAGAGACTAGAGCTGAAGGAGGTAGCTATGACTGGGAGTCATCTGCATAAAGGTTATAGTTGACCCTGTGTGAATTGATGATGTCACCAGGAGAGAAAATATATAAAAGAGATTCCTATTCCTGGAAATGATTCTTAGTTAAGTAGAATCTGCTTTACAAAATTTTCTGACCAACCATTTTCATAAAAAGCAACTATGAATTCAATGATACTTTTAAAAGAATTTGTATTTTATTAATTGCAAAAGCATACATTTGAAAAAAGTAGGCATTTATTATTGCACTGTATATTCTGTTGGATCACAGTGATAATGCTTGGTGCACATATGAATCTGTGGACACTTTGCAAAAATTCCTCAGTCTTAGGATACACAAATTAGTAACCATTGTTCTATATTATT